ACGGGCCATGTGCGCAGACGGTGCGTGCCAAGGCCAGGACCACTTGTCGCCCGGAGCTAGTCCGTTAACTAAAGTAGCAGATGGTTTAATTGGCCGGTCGATGCTCGGCGTCTCCGATTGTCCTCTTTTTATACACCTGCTAGATCACGTGACGGGCAACGGATTTTTTAAACGAAGAACGGACTGTGGTAACGAGCCTGTCATCGATCGTCGTCTCCTTTTTTTTGCCGGTTTACGGCGCATTTGCAATTCTCTAGATTCGAATAAATAGGAACGAATAGCTGATTTCAATTAATTATTTGTTCCGTACGCATTCTATATAATTCCGAGCCGCAATGCAAAACGTGGCACGCCTACGCAAGGTACTGTACAGTACATGTACTGTACGTGCGTGCCGGGTTGTAGATTTTTCTTCTTGTTTTCTTAATTTTAAAATTAAAAATTCTATATAACTTATACGTAATTCGTTGCCTAGGGCATTATAAAAGCGTAAGAATTGTTTATCGTGTCCTTTGTTTACATTCATAATTTTAAAAATTATTTTTCTCTATGATTCTTATGTTCGAAATTATTTTATTTATATGATGCTTAGTTATTTTGCTGTATACGAAAAAAATTTATATACATATATACAATTTGATTGAGGAATAAGGCTACGTTGACAGGCTCGTCTTACGTTACGTCAGGCCAAAGAAGGCATTATTTGTAACCCCTTAAATTACGCTTTCTTTAACTGGCCAGATGTGACGTGACGTAACGTAAGAAGAGCCTGTCTGAACGCAGCGTAATATTCGCACTAGAAGGAATTGTTTTAATAATAATTAAAATGAATTTTGCAAAATTATTATGTCAATAGAAATAATTATTCACGGTAACCTTATGTATGTTTCATAAAGTTTGTGGTTTATTATCATAGAAATGTTTAGCATTCGAGTTTTCCCCTTATGTATTAGTATTGAAAAGGCTAATAATATACAAAAAATATCCCATATGCCACATTTTGCACTCGTGTATACAATTCCTAAAGTATAAAATTACTCTACTTTCGGGTTTTGCGCAAAAAAGGAAAAATATTGTATGTCTTTTGTTTCTTGCATCAGATACGTCTTTAGTTCGACGCTATACATTATCAATGACAAACTCTACTGATAACTTTTTCGCTTCCAAAAATTTGAAAAAAAAATTCATTTAGTTGAGTAATTTCTGTAGTAAAAATCAACCGTTACGTTACGTAATGAGTAAAACTGCGGTGTTTATCCAAGTGCTTCTCTCTCTCTCCTGAAATTTGTCCTTGACTTTTTTTCTTTCACCATCCATCGACGTCCTCGATTATTGCGATGCTTCAAAGAAGAAAAAACTTCTTTTATCTCGAGAAACTTTTGTTTCTTTCGGTAGTGTTTGGGGCGGATGCCCGCTTGACCCCAATGTGCCACCTTCGGCAGCAGCAGAAAACAAATTTGTAGACGTTAATTAATTCCTATCCGCAAACATGTCGGAGTTATTGTTAATGACGATCGCTGCTATGAGGATGATGATGATAACTTTTATATATTATCACTTATTATTATTATTGTTGAGGAGGTTTTTTAGTAAGAGGACGAGGTAACATCTGCTAAATTTTTAGCGAAAGAGGACAGACGGCCTGCGTGTTCCTCCCCCAAAATAGAGGAATGGGGAGGTCACGTGACCGGCGTGCACGCGCCACTACTTACTACAGATTAGAAAATCGCTTCCCCGTCCATACGACCACCTGTCCCTTAGTTTGAACGTAAACTAGCCTATTGTCAATGGTTTTTTTATTTTTTTTTATAGTGGTTTCCCCTAACCTGCCACCTTTCTAGTCAGGTAGCTTTGTTTTGTCTGGTTGTAAATTTCGCACATCCTCCAACATTAATATCGAACGTCTATTGTTTACGCACCTCCACGCTTTTTTTTAAACCGTTTTGACAATTATTTCGGTCGAATGCGACTTAAGTGGAATTTTATTCAAACAAAATCATGATTAAGTAGGATCTCTTCTGTTTATTCCGTTTCAATTAGGTTTAGATGATGTGTAGTGTGTCTGACAGGCAATATCTCGTTCCTTTCTGTTTCCTAGCAACACACACAACTTCCAGAGATTGTTTCCATAAACATTCGCATTTTCTAAGAAAGATTTGTATAATTAAGAAATGCTTTACTTAGAAGACACATATAAAATGAAAATAAATAAAAATTCACATTTAATGTAAAATTTGAATATTTCATGCAAATAATAACTCTTTTTTGGGATTACTCAATTTACAACTTTCCAAAAAAGTTTAGATTTTCATGGTTAAAATTCATCTTTTTGGAAAACGTATTTAGAATTATTTTCTAGCCACAGCCTTGAAATTTGAAATACTTTAGCAGCAACACGCTTTCTATGGCGCAACATCTTCAATTGTGATCATAACAGTAGCGTTATCCAAAAGCTCCAATAGTGATCATATTATATAATATTTCTACTATTAAAAATTTATAAACATTTAATAGGATTAATTTGATTTTAGTGTGAATTCTTCGACCTAAAAGCGAAGTAAAAAGTAGAGAACAATGAAAACATGCACAAATGCACTACAAGATGTATAAACACAATACAAGAACTACAATACCGACAATAAGTGTAATGCCATACGAAGAAATTGCCATTTGTTAATTGAATAAACTGTCATAGTTTTTAGAAATTTGACAATTTCCCGCAAAGACTAACAACAAAAGTCGGATCCATATTCAAAGAATAAATCTATATCATTAACTTATATCCATTCATAATTTTAACGAGTCTCGTCATTGTGCAAGTAGCGCACAATGTACAGCGTGTACTAAGCGCTTCCGATGACAATTGATAAGTACGGCGAAAATTCACAATATGCATCAAGTGTTAACCTAAATCTTCGATAACTATATTCAATTATAGGAGAAGATGCGTTGACAATAACATACGTCACGTACACAATAAGAACACCTGGACTGTAGCACAGGTGGCTTGGAAATTTCAGATTTGTGCCTACACTTTGGAATCACATTTCTGATAATTCTCTATTGCCCTTTAAATCAAACTAAAGATATTTTTTCCCTTTTTTCCTTTGCTAAATTTAGTATACGTCGATGCAGTTTCCAGTCGCGCTGTGTTATATCCGACCGTATTCTATTATATTGTTACGGATTCTTCTGCTTGCGAATTTTATATTTTAACTAACAAAACAATGGAAAATATGATTTATAATGGAAAAGACTTGTGGACAAGAGTCTGGCGCGCATTTCGTAAGGGTTTTGCGGGCAACAACAGTGTCGAATTTACGTATTCTACCGTAAAGAGTCAAAGCAGAAACAGCTGGCTGATTGAGGAGAGAGCCTAGCAGATGGACGAATGCAGCAGGACCGTTTGGTTGCGTGTTTATCAAGGTCGCATCCACGTGACTAGCGACAAGCCATCCACACGACCAACAGGCAGATGTATACATTCCGAACAGAGAGAATTAAACAAATTATAATTTAATTTGAAAAAAAAAAATAATAAAATTCTACACAAATTTAAATAAAGTAGCGATAACTAAAACAAACACCAAGATTTTCGAGCTGCAAAACGATTTTTTTACAATGCTTAAAAGAGATGCGTGTATTTAAGATATTCGATGTTAAATCTACAGGCGAAATGGTCCAGTTATTAAATTATTGACATCATTTGTTGCTCGTCTCCCGCATGGACGAGTCGGGAAAAGTTTTACACCCCCCCTCCCTAGCGATGTAGATTGGTATACATAAGCATCTGCTTGGGTGGTGAGGAGCATCGGCTCTCTCATTCGTCGCCCGCCTTCTTTAAAGAGCGACGTCTGCTCCAAGAAAAGCCACTGTGTCTGTGTCTTGTGTCCGTTTTTCTTACGTCTCCTCCGGACACAATGGTAATATTGATGTGTTATACTAACACTTACCGAATGGCTTCGGTACATCAGCGCAAAGAACACTGCAGGTAATCTTCTTTTTGCTTTTTTTATTTTTATTTTTTCCCAGAATTCTTAGGTTATTGGATTCTTTATTTTTAGCTCCAGTTGATTTTTGGTCTTAATCGATATCCCTTTGCTAGTTTAAAAATAGCAACAAAATCCGTTCGATAGATAAATGTCTTGCTCGTTTATGGAGTTTCTTCCAAGGAAAAATTTTATAATTACTTTCTTGTTTTTTTGTTTTATTCCTTAACGGGGAAATTTTAAAAATTTATTTTAAACTTTGAATATTTTTTTACATTATTTTATTTATATTTCAGATGATTTCGAAATGTATTACGCAATTTTACGTTTTGTTTACATTAGATAAGAAAAAAATTGTTTTCATATTCTTTCCTTCCTTAAACTGTATATTTTTTACGCTAGAGGTATTTAAACTTCGTTCGCAAACTCGTACTAGAACCGCTCGAGCCTCACCGGGATGACGTAAAAAAAAAAAATAGAACCGGGAAAAACTGAACAATTACGAGTCGCACGTGTAGTCGCGTGCCATCTGGCGCGTGCTGGACCGGGAGAGGCGCATGCGTAAAATAGCAGCAGGTGTGGCGTAGATCCAGGTGGAATAGTGCATAATATCATTTTTGGCTTTTGCAGGGTTCTCCTCTCTATTCTATTCTCCCCTCGTTCTCTATAAACAGCTGTTCTCTCTCAAAAACCCACAACCGGGGGATAAAAACGATACAAATATATATCTACACACACAAAAAAATAAATAAATAAAATCGATATTTTGGCATTAATGATTTTCTAAACGGCATAATATAAAGTCGAGCAGAGAATTTATTTCCATTTTTAACAGAAAGAAGAGATGCTAGTGTTCGGTTACTTATCATAGTTCAGAGTAAGAAAAATAATCACTAGAAACACGATCGGGTGGCGAGAAAATATATCTAATTACCGAATTTCTGCATTAATTTTCAAAAATGCAAACAGACAGTGTGGCTTTTTATAATTTTAAAACATTTTTCGTGACAGGTTAACTCGCAGTTTATACGCACCTCGGCGCTGCAACACTTGTCACAAAATGGTCTACTTTACAGCCGTCAGATGCAAACAATGCGGGTGAGTGTGTTTTTTTCTTCTTCTGTTTTTGTGTTTCCGTTGAGGTTAATGCCGCTTCATCTCTAACTATTGTTTTCGATTTTTAAAACGTTCTGTAATCTAATCTATTTGCAGCAATATCAGTCACGAGACTTGCGCCAACAGTCCGAATCACTGGTGTAATGTTAACAATCCCAGCACGAGAAGGAACAGTCATCAAACATCGAGCGGTGAGCAATCTTTGTTTGTTTGTTTATTCACGAGACTTTTTGAGTCACGCTCGTGTGTTTCATTCGCGTGACGAGTTTATTCTGCAGTTTATATGCTGGAAATTGATAAGTTTAGGCCATGGTTGTGTCGTTAACAATGACAGAAGATCATAAACCTGTAATGCTAAAAATAATCTAGTTGGAAACGTCACGTCCGAAAATAGTCTGTCATGACGCTGTTAACTGTTAGGAAATCATTTGATACTCTATAAATCAATACGTTCCGAGTCATATTAAAATAAGAAGAATATAATTGCGTTGTAAATCTTACTCGGTGCATTTTTTTACCTGTTTATTTTATCGATCCTTTGGGTGAAAATATAGGAATTTTTGTAATGTTTTTATTGTTATTGCAGGTGATAGCAGCTGGAGTCAGTTCAGCACGGATACGTTGGAGCTGGATAGAGAAAAGATGCCCGAAGATTGCAGCAAAAAATCTGGAACGGGAGCAAGCAGCAGCGCGGCAACGGCGTTATCTGGTTTGTTGAAAGTAGTGCATTGGTTATCTCAACGAAAACGAAGTAGAGAAATGAGCAAAGCTAACGCTGCCGATAAACATGTCAAGGGCCGATTCGGTTTAAATCAGGAGAAGATCGACGATAAAATGGCAAAGAAGAGATTGAAGACGCTGTTGAAAAACGTTCAACGCTTTCAACCGCCGAATCAGTGTTCTTGCAATTGGCCTCACGTGGGACCCGTGTGTTTGGTTCACACAGATAGTTATCAGAATTTCTTTGCCTCACCCAGCGGTTCTTTATCGTCGAGCGGCTGCGTTTCTACCGCTTCTTCCGCTGCACAAACACCGTCAGACACAGAGGGGGATTTTGGACGTCTGACCTCCTCCGTTTGTCGGACTCAGGAAAGGCTCTCTCAGCTTCCGGAAGTCGGTTATCGTGCCGTTCCCTCTGTATCTTCTCCACCTTCGAACGTTGCCACTACCCACTTTAGAAAAGGAAGTGGGATGAAGAGTCGTGCCCAAAATCTCAGCGTGCACGGTAGGTTCGGACGGCAATGGATGACAAAAGCTAGAACGTTAAGCCTGGAAACCAAAGGTTCGCCTATAGAACGACTCTGTGCCACCTGGCCTCCCGCGGGGAAGACAGTTAGCACCGTTGGTGAGTAAACTCTCACGCTCTATTCGTTTACAATGCATTTATTGACGCTTCTAACGTGCATTATGTTTAATTATAATGATAGAAGATTTTCTAGACGATACGGAATCTGGGATTGGAGATTGTGACGTCTCGGAAATATCTGCCAAGTAAGAGCGATTTTTCAAATATTATAACCGTTGCCAAATCGATTAAGTAACATGAAACGTAATTTTAGATCTCAATGCGCTGATGTAAGAGACACGTTGGGAGAATGGTGCATTCCTTTCGGTGATCTGGACATCATCGAGAAGTTAAAGCAAGATCATAATGGAGACATATACAGGTAAGCCTGATGATGCTTTTTTTATTCTCGTAATTCTCTTATAGGGAAGTCGAAATGAGTTCGAATTATTAAATTTTAGGGGTAGATGGCACGGAGAAGTGCTTATTTATACTTTTAAACAAGAAACGGAGGAAGAAGTCGGGCAGTTTCTCGAAGAAGTAGCACAATTAAGTATGATACGTCACGAGAACGTGGTTTTGTTTATGGGGGCTTGCATTGATCCTCCTCAACTGGCTATAATCACTAGGTAGGTGCACATTGTTCTAAAAACATCTTTCTAAGCCGTTTTACTAGATAATCAACATGTATCATTTATATTGCAGTATGAGAAAAGGGCCTTCTCTGTACGAACAACTTCATTTGCAGAGATACAGGTTACCATTCTACAGTAAAGTCAGTATTGCCAGACAAATTGCTCAGGGAATGGGTTATTTGCACGCTAAAGGAATAGTGCACAAGAAACTTAACTCCAAAAATATCATTTTAGAAGGTAGAGTGAAACTTTGCATTATGGACCAGGCTATGACTTCTCAGGAGAACGACAGGTAAATTTCTATAAAACTGTTTATAATCTCCAAGTTAATAGTTATTAACATGTGTACATTTTTCTTTTTGTAGACCGGGATACGGAAGTATATCCAGGGGTCATCTGACTTACATAAGTCCTGAATTGATGAGGACACTTCGGGTCGATCCTCCTCACGTTTATCCCGAAGCTGCTTTTACTCGCGAATCTGATATTTATGCATTTGGATCCGTGTTATACGAACTATTATCAGAGAAATTCGCATTTTCCAGTTTTCCTTCTCATACAGTCATCTGGTTAATAGCAAACGGCAGAACTCAAATGGTGGACGACTTAAAATGTACAAATGTATTGAGAGTAAGTTAGCCTACATTTCAAAAAAATATATTTATGATGAAATGTTTATTAATAAACATTTTCATATTTAGGCACTATTGATAGAGTGCTGGTGTGCTACCCCTCAACGTAGACCACCATTTTCTTATATAGCAAGACAGTTACAAGAAAACGTAAGTCGAATATCTATTTTTAAACATTCTTATAAAAGAGCGAGTTATTAATTTGCTATTTTTCTGTCAGGTTTCGCTTCATAAACGACACAGTTCTTCAGAACCCGAAAGAATTCATCATACTGGTCGTGGTATAAGTGTTTAAGAAGGCAGCAATAAAACTGTATCCACGAATAAGAGAAATCAAATGTGGTGTGCCTAAAGAGAGATTTGATTTTGCATTCAAAAAAACAAGAACTTTCCCATTTCTTTCTTATTTGGATCAATCGCCTCTCGTATGTAGATACTTCAAGGGCACCATTTCAAATCATCGAGCTTCATTCATCTTTTGGAATGATTGTGGACAACTTTTTAGTAAAGGATGCATTCTTACATAGAAAACATCGAATTACGAGCGAGGATCGGCATAGATTTTTTGACTCTCCGAGTTTAGTTAGCCATTTTTTGGCATTTAGAGACAAAACTAACGCGAGTTTTAGCGATTCACTTGGAGCATATGAAGAAAGACACGGTGCAATGGTGCCCTTTGAAGATTGAGTATCAGCTGTTTCAGGCTGTCTTTTTGCCTTGATCGTTGTTAAAAAACATATAAAAAAAAAANAAAAAAAAAAAAAAAAAAAAAAAAAAAAAAAAAAAAAAAAAAAAAAAAAAAAAAAAAAAAAAAAAAAAAAAAAAAAAAAAAAAAAAAAAAAAAAAAAAAAAAAAAAAAAAAAAAAAAAAAAAAAAAAAAAAAAAAAAAAAAAAAAAAAAAAAAAAAAAAAAAAAAAAAAAAAAAAAAAAAAAAAAAAAAAAAAAAAAAAAAAAAAAAAAAAAAAAAAAAAAAAAAAAAAAAAAAAAAAAAAAAAAAAAAAAAAAAAAAAAAAAAAAAAAAAAAAAAAAAAAAAAAAAAAAAAAAAAAAAAAAAAAAAAAAAAAAAAAAAAAAAAAAAAAAAAAAAAAAAAAAAAAAAAAAAAAAAAAAAAAAAAAAAAAAAAAAAAAAAAAAAAAAAAAAAAAAAAAAAAAAAAAAAAAAAAAAAAAAAAAAAAAAAAAAAAAAAAAAAAAAAAAAAAAAAAAAAAAAAAAAAAAAAAAAAAAAAAAAAAAAAAAAAAAAAAAAAAAAAAAAAAAAAAAAAAAAAAAAAAAAAAAAAAAAAAAAAAAAAAAAAAAAAAAAAAAAAAAAAAAAAAAAAAAAAAAAAAAAAAAAAAAAAAAAAAAAAAAAAAAAAAAAAAAAAAAAAAAAAAAAAAAAAAAAAAAAAAAAAAAAAAAAAAAAAAAAAAAAAAAAAAAAAAAAAAAAAAAAAAAAAAAAAAAAAAAAAAAAAAAAAAAAAAAAAAAAAAAAAAAAAAAAAAAAAAAAAAAAAAAAAAAAAAAAAAAAAAAAAAAAAAAAAAAAAAAAAAAAAAAAAAAAAAAAAAAAAAAAAAAAAAAAAAAAAAAAAAAAAAAAAAAAAAAAAAAAAAAAAAAAAAAAAAAAAAAAAAAAAAAAAAAAAAAAAAAAAAAAAAAAAAAAAAAAAAAAAAAAAAAAAAAAAAAAAAAAAAAAAAAAAAAAAAAAAAAAAAAAAAAAAAAAAAAAAAAAAAAAAAAAAAAAAAAAAAAAAAAAAAAAAAAAAAAAAAAAAAAAAAAAAAAAAAAAAAAAAAAAAAAAAAAAAAAAAAAAAAAAAAAAAAAAAAAAAAAAAAAAAAAAAAAAAAAAAAAAAAAAAAAAAAAAAAAAAAAAAAAAAAAAAAAAAAAAAAAAAAAAAAAAAAAAAAAAAAAAAAAAAAAAAAAAAAAAAAAAAAAAAAAAAAAAAAAAAAAAAAAAAAAAAAAAAAAAAAAAAAAAAAAAAAAAAAAAAAAAAAAAAAAAAAAAAAAAAAAAAAAAAAAAAAAAAAAAAAAAAAAAAAAAAAAAAAAAAAAAAAAAAAAAAAAAAAAAAAAAAAAAAAAAAAAAAAAAAAAAAAAAAAAAAAAAAAAAAAAAAAAAAAAAAAAAAAAAAAAAAAAAAAAAAAAAAAAAAAAAAAAAAAAAAAAAAAAAAAAAAAAAAAAAAAAAAAAAAAAAAAAAAAAAAAAAAAAAAAAAAAAAAAAAAAAAAAAAAAAAAAAAAAAAAAAAAAAAAAAAAAAAAAAAAAAAAAAAAAAAAAAAAAAAAAAAAAAAAAAAAAAAAAAAAAAAAAAAAAAAAAAAAAAAAAAAAAAAAAAAAAAAAAAAAAAAAAAAAAAAAAAAAAAAAAAAAAAAAAAAAAAAAAAAAAAAAAAAAAAAAAAAAAAAAAAAAAAAAAAAAAAAAAAAAAAAAAAAAAAAAAAAAAAAAAAAAAAAAAAAAAAAAAAAAAAAAAAAAAAAAAAAAAAAAAAAAAAAAAAAAAAAAAAAAAAAAAAAAAAAAAAAAAAAAAAAAAAAAAAAAAAAAAAAAAAAAAAAAAAAAAAAAAAAAAAAAAAAAAAAAAAAAAAAAAAAAAAAAAAAAAAAAAAAAAAAAAAAAAAAAAAAAAAAAAAAAAAAAAAAAAAAAAAAAAAAAAAAAAAAAAAAAAAAAAAAAAAAAAAAAAAAAAAAAAAAAAAAAAAAAAAAAAAAAAAAAAAAAAAAAAAAAAAAAAAAAAAAAAAAAAAAAAAAAAAAAAAAAAAAAAAAAAAAAAAAAAAAAAAAAAAAAAAAAAAAAAAAAAAAAAAAAAAAAAAAAAAAAAAAAAAAAAAAAAAAAAAAAAAAAAAAAAAAAAAAAAAAAAAAAAAAAAAAAAAAAAAAAAAAAAAAAAAAAAAAAAAAAAAAAAAAAAAAAAAAAAAAAAAAAAAAAAAAAAAAAAAAAAAAAAAAAAAAAAAAAAAAAAAAAAAAAAAAAAAAAAAAAAAAAAAAAAAAAAAAAAAAAAAAAAAAAAAAAAAAAAAAAAAAAAAAAAAAAAAAAAAAAAAAAAAAAAAAAAAAAAAAAAAAAAAAAAAAAAAAAAAAAAAAAAAAAAAAAAAAAAAAAAAAAAAAAAAAAAAAAAAAAAAAAAAAAAAAAAAAAAAAAAAAAAAAAAAAAAAAAAAAAAAAAAAAAAAAAAAAAAAAAAAAAAAAAAAAAAAAAAAAAAAAAAAAAAAAAAAAAAAAAAAAAAAAAAAAAAAAAAAAAAAAAAAAAAAAAAAAAAAAAAAAAAAAAAAAAAAAAAAAAAAAAAAAAAAAAAAAAAAAAAAAAAAAAAAAAAAAAAAAAAAAAAAAAAAAAAAAAAAAAAAAAAAAAAAAAAAAAAAAAAAAAAAAAAAAAAAAAAAAAAAAAAAAAAAAAAAAAAAAAAAAAAAAAAAAAAAAAAAAAAAAAAAAAAAAAAAAAAAAAAAAAAAAAAAAAAAAAAAAAAAAAAAAAAAAAAAAAAAAAAAAAAAAAAAAAAAAAAAAAAAAAAAAAAAAAAAAAAAAAAAAAAAAAAAAAAAAAAAAAAAAAAAAAAAAAAAAAAAAAAAAAAAAAAAAAAAAAAAAAAAAAAAAAAAAAAAAAAAAAAAAAAAAAAAAAAAAAAAAAAAAAAAAAAAAAAAAAAAAAAAAAAAAAAAAAAAAAAAAAAAAAAAAAAAAAAAAAAAAAAAAAAAAAAAAAAAAAAAAAAAAAAAAAAAAAAAAAAAAAAAAAAAAAAAAAAAAAAAAAAAAAAAAAAAAAAAAAAAAAAAAAAAAAAAAAAAAAAAAAAAAAAAAAAAAAAAAAAAAAAAAAAAAAAAAAAAAAAAAAAAAAAAAAAAAAAAAAAAAAAAAAAAAAAAAAAAAAAAAAAAAAAAAAAAAAAAAAAAAAAAAAAAAAAAAAAAAAAAAAAAAAAAAAAAAAAAAAAAAAAAAAAAAAAAAAAAAAAAAAAAAAAAAAAAAAAAAAAAAAAAAAAAAAAAAAAAAAAAAAAAAAAAAAAAAAAAAAAAAAAAAAAAAAAAAAAAAAAAAAAAAAAAAAAAAAAAAAAAAAAAAAAAAAAAAAAAAAAAAAAAAAAAAAAAAAAAAAAAAAAAAAAAAAAAAAAAAAAAAAAAAAAAAAAAAAAAAAAAAAAAAAAAAAAAAAAAAAAAAAAAAAAAAAAAAAAAAAAAAAAAAAAAAAAAAAAAAAAAAAAAAAAAAAAAAAAAAAAAAAAAAAAAAAAAAAAAAAAAAAAAAAAAAAAAAAAAAAAAAAAAAAAAAAAAAAAAAAAAAAAAAAAAAAAAAAAAAAAAAAAAAAAAAAAAAAAAAAAAAAAAAAAAAAAAAAAAAAAAAAAAAAAAAAAAAAAAAAAAAAAAAAAAAAAAAAAAAAAAAAAAAAAAAAAAAAAAAAAAAAAAAAAAAAAAAAAAAAAAAAAAAAAAAAAAAAAAAAAAAAAAAAAAAAAAAAAAAAAAAAAAAAAAAAAAAAAAAAAAAAAAAAAAAAAAAAAAAAAAAAAAAAAAAAAAAAAAAAAAAAAAAAAAAAAAAAAAAAAAAAAAAAAAAAAAAAAAAAAAAAAAAAAAAAAAAAAAAAAAAAAAAAAAAAAAAAAAAAAAAAAAAAAAAAAAAAAAAAAAAAAAAAAAAAAAAAAAAAAAAAAAAAAAAAAAAAAAAAAAAAAAAAAAAAAAAAAAAAAAAAAAAAAAAAAAAAAAAAAAAAAAAAAAAAAAAAAAAAAAAAAAAAAAAAAAAAAAAAAAAAAAAAAAAAAAAAAAAAAAAAAAAAAAAAAAAAAAAAAAAAAAAAAAAAAAAAAAAAAAAAAAAAAAAAAAAAAAAAAAAAAAAAAAAAAAAAAAAAAAAAAAAAAAAAAAAAAAAAAAAAAAAAAAAAAAAAAAAAAAAAAAAAAAAAAAAAAAAAAAAAAAAAAAAAAAAAAAAAAAAAAAAAAAAAAAAAAAAAAAAAAAAAAAAAAAAAAAAAAAAAAAAAAAAAAAAAAAAAAAAAAAAAAAAAAAAAAAAAAAAAAAAAAAAAAAAAAAAAAAAAAAAAAAAAAAAAAAAAAAAAAAAAAAAAAAAAAAAAAAAAAAAAAAAAAAAAAAAAAAAAAAAAAAAAAAAAAAAAAAAAAAAAAAAAAAAAAAAAAAAAAAAAAAAAAAAAAAAAAAAAAAAAAAAAAAAAAAAAAAAAAAAAAAAAAAAAAAAAAAAAAAAAAAAAAAAAAAAAAAAAAAAAAAAAAAAAAAAAAAAAAAAAAAAAAAAAAAAAAAAAAAAAAAAAAAAAAAAAAAAAAAAAAAAAAAAAAAAAAAAAAAAAAAAAAAAAAAAAAAAAAAAAAAAAAAAAAAAAAAAAAAAAAAAAAAAAAAAAAAAAAAAAAAAAAAAAAAAAAAAAAAAAAAAAAAAAAAAAAAAAAAAAAAAAAAAAAAAAAAAAAAAAAAAAAAAAAAAAAAAAAAAAAAAAAAAAAAAAAAAAAAAAAAAAAAAAAAAAAAAAAAAAAAAAAAAAAAAAAAAAAAAAAAAAAAAAAAAAAAAAAAAAAAAAAAAAAAAAAAAAAAAAAAAAAAAAAAAAAAAAAAAAAAAAAAAAAAAAAAAAAAAAAAAAAAAAAAAAAAAAAAAAAAAAAAAAAAAAAAAAAAAAAAAAAAAAAAAAAAAAAAAAAAAAAAAAAAAAAAAAAAAAAAAAAAAAAAAAAAAAAAAAAAAAAAAAAAAAAAAAAAAAAAAAAAAAAAAAAAAAAAAAAAAAAAAAAAAAAAAAAAAAAAAAAAAAAAAAAAAAAAAAAAAAAAAAAAAAAAAAAAAAAAAAAAAAAAAAAAAAAAAAAAAAAAAAAAAAAAAAAAAAAAAAAAA